CAGTACTGAAGTGAACCGAATAGACGGGTACTCAGAAGTTGACGACAATGCACACGGGAGGAGGAGCTGGTCGTTAAGGAAATGATAATGGGCCAGAGTAAGTGCCACATGGTTAAATAGCTGGCTTAGGAGGAACCTCTTTGAGCAACAACAGACGTATTAAGGTAAGTAGATCAATCGGGCGTTAGGAGGAGGTACTGTGAGGGATAACACCGCTGTTGGCATGTCAATGAAAACCACAGCAGCGTACCCCAAACCAAAGCAATTCTGACACTGTCGCCAGGTATGGATGCATCAAATCCGATGCACCCTGTTATATCGAATGTAATGTGTGTAGTGGGCCGCGAAATACCCGTGGAGCTGCAAGGCGAGTAGGTGCCATTGTCTGAACTACCAAGTAAGAGATTAGAAGTGATAAGAAGAAGTGGCTACTGCTATATGGTAAACAAATAACGAGTGACGCACAGGGTTCAGACGAAGCGGTTAGGTCGTGAGGAGCTAAGCAATGGCACCTGTGATTGTCTAACAGGCCCCGCTGTTAGGCTAAACTGCTTAGGCTGACGATGGAGCCTGCTAACGTAAGGACCCCATAAAGGCACTTTCTGGAGCGTCATATGGACACAGTACTAGCTACTTCAACATGCACTTGCATTAGGTACTTGCCACCCTGTTTAACCAAGTGACAAAATCTTTATCCTATTACGAATCGACACTTACTTTTACTAGATTTTGCCGCAACAGCGCTGCAAGCAAGCAGTGCTTGACGGGATTTAACTGCCAAAACGTTCAGCTTTACCCGCAAAATAGCAGGCTAGCCTACTCAACACGCAAATATCCATGCATCTGCCAGTCCACTCCATAACGTTATGACCATTTTAGAACACGTTTCGATCTTACACAGTTGCCCACACAGCCGGTTTTACTTGACTTCCCTGACAACCTCTTATTAGGTGCAAGAACACCGCTAACGCCATGCTATATCATGAGTACCTTGCCCATCTGGAAGCATCACCGTTTCGTTTCTTTTATAGGCTCTTCCTGCTTCACAAAGTGACAGTGAGGTATGTACTGTTGTACATTTCATAGGATCCATTGCGTCGTCACACCTTGTCAAAGAGAACCTGTACGTATTTACTTACGTTGTTATGTTCAATACATTAGCTTCCAAAGCAGCTATTACTAAAGATCCCTAAAAGGCACTAGATCTGTTTGACCTCATAAAGATTGCGCATTCATCGTTTCCATCCGGATTCGTGCTCATAAACAATGGTCTGAATGGCAAGCTGGCAGATTTTGGTACTCAGCCACGGTGGTCAGCAGTGGACCGTCCTGAAGCGCAAGTGTACGGCGATGTAGTGCGTCCTCTGCGCCACTGCTATTCAAGTTATGAACGCTGTTTAGGACTGCATTGGTCTGAATAGAAAACGCTTCTACGGACAGTAACTATGGGCGCCAAAGTTTAAAAACTGATAGGGTGCCCCTTAGCTTGCATTAAGAGGCACCAACAACCACGTACATTTATTCAATTATTTACAGTACACCTGTGGTGCAAGGTCGATATCTCTCATGAGGCTAGGCGCTACTTTCGAATGCTAATGCTTACAAAATGCGCAAACTTCGCCGATACATCTGTACCACGACTGCTGGCTATCTGAAAAACCTCCTCGTGGTGTCAGCTGGGTGGTTCGGGTTTAACCCGTTTCAGCAAATAGTTCGGCGACAGTGTTCCAGGACGTGGTGGGTTTCGCCTGGCAAGCGTTCTCCCTATAAAAAGTCACAAATGTCCGCTTAACAACACTGTGATGTGGCGGTCCTGACTCGCCACAAAAGAAAGTCACTGCCCCGTGGAAATCTGGATAATTCTATCCAACCTACGGACACCAATCTCCTACCCGCATACTGATGATGATATCAAACCTTGAAGAATGGAGCAGCACAACTACAAGCACAAAAGACACAGTTACATACACATACACAATGGCATAGGTACCTACCCCCTACACAAACACAACTGCTATGGCAAACATATCGGATTTTTGCACCTTCCTAACCATGCATCGTTACGCTAAATTACCATGCCTGTAAAGGCGTGCCTTACCTTGATGAGAATAAAAGATTTATTTATTTATTTAATAGTGTTAACGCTAAAAGTTTTGTAAAAATAAAAACAATACACCTATGCATGTCCATTGCATATGTCATCCGCGGTAGAAACTTAATGCGTTAAGAACAAGTTTAGTCTCGATAGCTTCGATATGCCTTTAACAAACTTAATACCGCAAGCACCCTAACCGGTTGGCCTGCTTTGTGTTGGCAACGGATATTTAAATGGGGTGATATGCGCGTTCGAGTTCGCTACGGCCTATGAGACAACCACTGCTTGGTGCGCCACAGTTATCCGTCCTGGGTCAATTGTGTCCACATGCTGTGCAACAGATCAGCTGGAGTAACTGGGCTTACTTATCTAGCCGTGCAGAAAAGCTATAGTTCTAGGACAATTAGTGAACCAGAGTGCCTTGGGGAACAAGTTATTGTAACTGTTAGACTCAGCAGGTGGTCTGTGTGGTGGTAACTACCAATAAAACACTTCAGGCGCTAAGGTTTGTATACTAGAATAATGACACAGCCGTGAGTTAACCTTTATGCCAAAACTATTAGCCGAATAAACATTGCTATCCTAAAACTGAACAAAACCCGCCTGCACCTTATTCAGAAGGCTGCAGAGGAGTTCAGGTTCACTGGGAATCCTACGGGTGGAATTGCGTGTCGAACTGCAGTTACATTTCATCAGCACCAACCAGCAGTTCTGCGTACGGGCTCAACCACTGCATAATCCAAGATAATATGACGGCGAAACATGCATTAAGCGTCTGTATAAGGATGGTGGATGAGTTGGACTAACCATCCTCTCCTGTGACAGCTTAGTTCAGGTGCTTTCCGCCTCGCTGCCGATGGCATCCGAGAACCTGCCAAGTGGCCATCGTATCTTGACGGAGCAATATGAAACAGCTTTAGCGTCCTCCCTCAAATAGATTACCATTGCGCTAAGGTCATCAATTGGGATTGCAAATATACAGCTCCAATTGGCAAATGGGTAACAGATGGTTACGGCATAGCGTAGCCTTCTCCCGTATAACCTAACTGCAAATAAGGTGTTGTCACCTACAAGAAAATAAATTCGGCATCGAGTGTATAACCTAGGTTTGCAACCACAACACTTCCCTCTCCATATCTTATCCATAACTACCACCTCTCAAACCGCTATAATCCCCACGAAATTTAGTGCAAGATAGAGTTTATTGCTAGAAGCTCTTTAGTTTCAATTCAGTTATATCCGTTAGGTTTTAATCCGCTTCACATGGACGTCGTAGTGGAGACACTTAGCGAAAAGCAGCTGGGCGGAGATCCTTTGCCTATGGTGGCAAGCGCGTGTTGATTTCAGACGTGTAAAGGATAAAATACTTCGCCAATGGCTATCCTTACCAAAGAAGCTGCCACAATGGAACAATGACTAGTATATACTATTATTCCTGTAATACTAACGCTAGAGCTTAAATTTACAGTTGTTTATACCACCTGTAACCGCTGGGCACTTCAATAACCTTAGTTGAGGTCATGCAAGGCGCATGCTACAAAGGGTTCGAACAGGAATGCGGGAGACAGGTGTGGACCGGATCCGCGTAAACAATAATTAGGGAGAGCAACGTAGCGCAGCAGAATAGCAGGTTGAAGAGAGCAATGATTTTAAAGCAGAACGCATTTATACGCAATGAACTGGGTACATTTCTCCAAATATTATGTCTGCTTATTTAGTATTAGTATGTTGTTACGTTTACGCCTTGTATATGTAAAATAGTGATTATTAATTTCGTACAAAAACAACATTTATTTGTTTAGTTTGCGGTGCATACATAATAATGATATACGTACATAAAACAAAATAATAATATGAGTAAATAAAGTAAATAACTAGCATATGCAACTTCTTTTGTTCCCAGCACAAAATCATTTACGCATACCTTATATAGAAATGTATACATAATACCATGCGCATACACCACATACGTAACTACACATATTCAAGATACATTTGCCATATTTGATGTTTTACCTCATTATTATATCTTTCCAAATACGTGTTATAACGTTAGTTAGGTGCAACAACATCAAACGTTTTCATCAGCAATTTCGGGACCGTTTGCTCCTAATCTTGTGTACTACAAAAACCATGAGTTGCCCGGAACATCTGAAAGGTTATAGAGGAAGAGTGACACAGTACATTCTAACATAAGTTAAAAGGATCAGATAACGACGGTAGGTACTGTACATACTAGGTACCTAGTCAAAAGAATTCCATTTCATTGCAGTTAGGCATTTGAATTGCAATGGTTGCAGCTGCATGGGAAATCGATGCGAAGCAATAATAATACATTAGCAATGTGAAAAATTAATCAATGAAAATAATTACAATTAAGATGTCTCACTATGTACTTGACAGCACAATAATATAAACCCTTCACAAACTACGGCACACCATAGCTCACGGGGCTGGCGTCGTCACATCGACCTTGAAGCTACAATATTCCTTGCTTAATATAGCTATTTAGGCCATAACGTAAGTTATTCGCAGTCAGGCGCACGTCATACCTTCTTTTCCGGGCTATTTCGTACTACCCTTTATGTCTCCTAAACCATACATTTCTGTTTTCAAGATTAGTTGGGTAAATAAAACTGATAAATTTACAAAACTTAAGTTAATTGCCGTGGGGAGCGCTGTAACTGTACATTTAAAGCTAATAAGCCTTGTTTTGGAAGTAAATAAATTTGTATGTGATCACGGTTTACCGCCAAACAATTGTGATCCATATTTAAGAATATGTTTGGGAGAAGTCCGTAACAAGTATGCATATTTTACTTACAAAAGAAGGTCGGTTTGCAATATTCTGCACTTCACAGAAAGTTCTTTATACCCCAACACACAATTTGTTAAATTCGACGCAATGATTGGGAATAAGCCTAATCCTATTACCACCCACTTCAGTGGGTTCCCGGTAAATACATTTATTATTTATTGTTTGGTAAGAGTGCCTTATACCTTTATGTTGATATATTTGATGCCGATTTCCCCCCGATCGATACAGATGATCATTTAGGTGCATTGCGACTAGATGGTTTCACGGTTTCATCTTATCCTTCCCCTGGCGTTGTTGAACGATTGGGAGAAGTTAGCAGCATTTATGCACCAAAAGAGCTTTCAGTCCGTGGGAAATTGAAATCGGGTTCTGCAACCTTGAAAATATCTGTTTGGGCGCAATGTCCTGATGGGCGGTTTGGACCTACGTGTGAAGCAATTTGCGTACCACAACATTTGAGTGGTAACGGACATTATGGCTGCGATGTTACATCTGGTAAAAGAATCTGCATTCCAGGTTAGTTCTGCAAGAATGGTAGTATTTTGCCACATTTGATAACAATGTAACGGTAAAGCCTCACAACCACATTCGTAGTTGCATCCAGGAGCATCCAGCAGAAAGCTTATAGAATGACGTTCTTATTTTTGGGTATCCCGATTTTTATCTCATTAGAAACAAGCTTATATGCTGCTCTGGTAATGTTAAACAAATGTTATCTTTAATATTGATGGATTAAAAGTTCTAGATAGGATATTTGCTACTGCTTTTAAATTTTGGAATATCAAATTCATTAATAACTGTAGTAGCCGATTCGGTAAATGTTTTGACTTTACAAATATGGCAAAGCAGTAGGGATGAAGTTAAATTTTATGGTCACTTCTCATTGCTAGGTGATAACCAACAAAACTTTATCGGAATCAAAAACACGACGTGCACTTATCTAAAAAATGGCATAAATT